AAAATAAATTATCTGTATCTTTAAAATTTACACTTAATCTATTAATAAAGTTTATTGGAGCAAGACTCTGTTGGATATAAAAAAAATATATATATGTATTTTTATATATAAAGGCATAAGATAATTCTTATTAATTAATTTCAATAAATAAATATTTGTTGATATTTATTTTTCTAATAAATAACAAATCAGTTGATATTTGTTACATATAACTTTAACTTTTTTAACTTCTAATATTTATTTTCTGATGATGATATAATTTACTTAACAAATGATGATAAAATTTATTTAACAGATGATAATGATAATAAAATCTATTTAACAGATAATGATGAAAAATCTTTCTAACAGAAATATTATCTTCTGATAATACCTTCCCTAATAGTACTTTAATTTTGATTCTGCTAATTTTGAAAAAAAGTGAAATAAAATTATCTAATATTAATATTTAATTATCAATTCAGTTGGATAATTTTGTGAATACTCCAGTTCCAGTGTCAATACAAAATATTGAATGTAGCAATTGATTCACTTTTCAAATTTATAAGGTTACTGTTAAAGATAGTACCAATAATTATAAATTGCAAATTACAATTACTTTATTAAGGACTTCAATAGTTAAAAAAAATCTGCAATTTTGCAATTTGCAATTATCCACAAGTTCATAAGTCAATAATGTTTATAATTATTATATAATTATGTAATAATTTTCAATTAAAAACTCACCATTTACAATTTGATGTTTATTCATTACATGGGTGCTAAATGAAATTTACTAGGTAGATGTGATTATTAATTAAGTGACCTAATGTGTCAATTAAATATCAAACTTGCATTATTTTCTAAATTCTTCTTCACAGGTGCCCAACAAACCAGTGAAGGTGAGAAGAAAGGTAAGTGTATTATTAAGGCAAGGGACAAAAGTAAGTATATGTTTTTATTATTTTTTTAAAAAAAAATATAAAAAAACTCATCTCTCAAACTCGCGAATGCCGAGATGCCGATTTTGACCTTCGCAAGTATCCTCACGAACAGTGAAGGTAAGAAGAAGAGAGGCATGTGTATTATTAAGGCAAGGGACAAGGTAAGTATAGTTATTATTTTTTTTTTTAAAAAAAAAAAAAAATGTTTTTTTTAAAAAAAAATATATATATATATTAACAAAATTGATTATCAAAGTTACGCAGACTTGCGAACTTACAGAATAATTGTAGACTTGCGAATTTATATCGCAATTCCATCTAAAAATCCGCAAAATTAAGGACTTGGAAGAATAATTAGGGGCACCATCTTTACAACCAGGAGATGGTATTTTATTCCTTTTTTCTTTATCAGTCCGTAAATCTCAAGATATTTACCTGCGATATTGACAGTGGATCCTATATAATTTTTATAAAACGTTTCCTTCACATATCTCTTTACAAGTTCTTTGTGCTAACTTATTGTGATCATGATGAATTTATTTTTGTTTTGAGCCATTAATTAAAGTTGTTCGGAATTGATTTTGTAAGTTTTAATTATCCTTATAAGACCTCCCAGGGCACAGGATAGGAGAAATGCTCGAATTTTTTTGGTAGCACAACATCATTTCACGTTAAAATAACGGATAACGACTATCCAATTCATTCGAATAAAATATGTCAGGATTATCAAATATTCTCGCTATTGATTTTAAGCGTACAGAGAGAATCGCTTTGACGACAGCTCTTAGAGAATATATTTCTTACTCATACGCTGAACATCCTGATGCATACACCGACGACTTTCGTATTCTTGACGAATTAAGAACGGATTGTTTAAATTTAGAAGTACATCAGAATGCATTGAATCGACTGTTGAAGTGTGTTATTTGAGTTTATGGTTTTGCGAATTTAATGCAATAAATGTAATTACCAAGTTAAGATTCTTAAATCATTATGAAATAATAAATTTTTTTTAGATATTATGGACAATTAGTATTTATTGGGTCAAAATTTCCAATCGATGTAGGTTTTCGGTTTTAAAAAGTTTTTGATTCATTTTTTTTAGTTTAATAATTGGTCGTTTATTAATTATAGGTAGGAATAGAATTTCCTTGGTATTCGGCTTTTTCTGATGAAAAAAAACCGAGTATGTTTTTTGTAATTCAAAGATTAAAAATAGAATACAATATTTATCAATTATTTAATGAGTTATTCAATTTATATAATAAAATTAATATTTTTAAAAAAAAATTTTTTTTTTTTTTTTGGTAATCAGTTTCGCATAGAAATTTTTATTATGAGAAAGCATGTGTTTTATTTAATGTTGGTGTTATGTATAGTCAGCTTGGAGTATCTGAAAATAGAGCAACACCTGAAGGTGTCAAAAAAGCTTGCAAACATTTTCAAGTAATATAAGAAGTCATAACTTAATTCTCGGATTTTTCCCAGAAAAATATTTGATTGAACTGAATTTTTTTTTAAACTACTTAGTTAGCAGCTGGATGCTTTAAACATTTGAACGAATCCGTTATACCAGAAATGCGAATTGCATCAACTTTAGATATGTCACGCGAGACTTTAGGTGTTTTGATAAATACAATGCTCGCTCAAGCTCAAGAATGTTTTTGGCAAAAAGCTGTTTATGGTAAATAATTTATCATAAGATCATCTAATTTTTTATATATTTCATTATATACACATACATTTTTATTTCATTTTATTATTATTTTTATTTTCATATTTATTTAATTCGTTAAGATAATTTCATGGATGGAACTGTTGCAAAATTAGCAAGTCAAGTTTCTGCTTATTACGAGTCGGCTCATGAATTGGCTTCAAATTACCCAGACGTTGCTAAAATGTTGGGACAAGTACGAATTATATTATTTTATGTTATAAATTACATTATTTTGTTTTAGTATTCACAATTAATAATTTGTTAATTCCACTCTATTATTCCATTTTATGCAGAAGTTTCTTACACATTTGCAAGTAAAGTCTTACCATTTTTCTGCTGCTGCAGAATTTCGAAAGTCTTCTGAATGTATTGGTCAAAATAAATATGGTGAAGAAATTGCTAGATTACAAGTGGCTGAAGGTTATGTGAAGCGTAGTTTTGATCAAAGTAAACATCTGAGAGATGCTGTCATAAAGGATTTGGAGGTTAGTTATTATATTCAAATTCTCTTTATGATCATTAAATTTTTATAATTGGTTTATTATAATTTTTTTTTTCATTCTATAGTCATTGCATACTGCAGTTTCTTCAAACCTCAATCGAGCCATAAAAGATAATGATATTATCTATTTAAATACTATTCCAGCAGCTTCATCATTAGAAATTATTGGTAAGGCAAATTTAGCTGCCCCACATCTTCCTCCTGAAGTCAAAGATCCTATTTCTTTGATGAATGAAAAGTCGATTTTGGGTATGCCCCTATTCGTGAAACTTGTTCCTTTTGCCATCCATCAAGCCCTTAGTGTATATTCAGATCGTAAAGAACGACTGATTAAGGATGAAATTTTATCAAAACTAGAAGAGTTGACAAATATTTGTAGCAGGTGGAAATTATTTTTTATAAGGCTTATCAATTTTGTTTGAAATATTCTTTCAAATTTATTTAATTTATTTAACCTATTTAATTTATTTAATTTATTTAATTTATTTGATTTATTTGATTTATTTGATTTATTTGATTTAGCACATTGCAATCTCTAAATTTGCCCGCTTCATTAGATATATCTGAACGGTCGTCAATTCCACCACAATTGCTAGTCAAGTCACAGGAGGTTCGTAATGAGGGTGGATTTTCTAGATTGGAGGCTATGTTCAAAACTGTACAAGAATTTTTCCCAAACAATTATAAAATTTTAGAAGAGGTGAGTTAACAGATATTTTAAAAGAAAGAAAGAAATTTATATAAATACATACTTGAAATTTGCTTAAATAATATTCTAGGCGTTGAACGTATTGGACGCAGAAGCAGGAGAAGATGAAGAATGGCAAAATCAATTTGGAGAAAGATGGAAGAGAGAACCTTCAGAGAATATTAATAAAGCTTTAGTAGAACAAGCAAATAGACATAAAAAACTGCTTGAACAAGCTCGTAAAGGTGATAATAGAATTCGAAATAAAATGGACCAATGGTCAGGCTTTATTCAATTGTTGTGTGAAGATAAAGTTAGTTTCATTATTTTTATATTTGTACATCTATTTTGTCTTCAATTAAATGAATTTAATTATAAAAATGTTTTTAAATCTATGAAAAATAGGAAACTTTAGCAAATTCTATTCCTTCAGATAATGTATCATCTGGGTCAGCACAATTAGATATTCAAGAAATTACGAATGAATTACGAAACCAAACAAATGAGGCTTACAATTTCATGAGAGATCGCCAAAACACAATTCAAGAAGTTAAAAAAACGGCAGACTTAGATGATATCGGTATTTCACACGAACTATAATAAAAATTTGGATAACTTTGACTTATGATAAAATGAAATTAGAGTCTAGACAAAATTTTTCTTTAATTAGGCCCAATCTTGCTTAGAGAAGCAGCCAGAATAACGACTACGAGTGGCACTTCAACAAAAATTGAACCAGCGCAATTCGAGGAATTATTCACTGAACAGTTGAAGAAATATGACAGATTTTTAGAATTAATACAACAAGAAACTGAAAGACAAAATAGAGTTTTGATATATATTAGAGTAATTAAAAATCTATTTCATTTAGACATATTTTTGTTATTTATTATTAATAGAACCTTAATAAGATGGAAATTATTAAATTTAGGAAAAATTCCAAGAATTCGATGAAAAACGTAGAAAATCAATTAATAACCCTGAAAGAGTAAATGCACTTACAAACCTTGAGTCAACATACAGTAAATTTCAAGAAATTTTGTCAAATTTACAAGAAGGAGTAAAGGTAATAAATATTTAATATTGATAAATCATTTATAATAAATCGTCTTTACGAATTTAAAATATGTTTTTTTTATTATAGTTTTACCAAACTTACGAGAATACGCTGAATGAATTTAAGAAAAATTGTGAGGATTTTGCGGCCTATCGTCATAGAGAAGGAGAAAAATATGCCAGGCAAGAATCAATGGTTTATAAAAATAGATATATATATATATATTTGACGAATAACCTTTAAATTTTAACTAAATTATTTAATCCTCATCTGTTATAGTGAATTGATATCTAATAATAACCTTAACAGAATACAATCAAGTGTTTCAAATTTGTCACTTACAAACGAAAAATCATCACCTATTTCACCTACAAATAGAGTTTGGACAAGAGGTACTCCTATAGTTTTTTCACCACCTTCTCAAGGAAGTATTCAGACGCAATCACCACAATCGGCAAGAAATAGTACAAGTGGTGCTTGGAAGGAAAATATGGATGTAAGATTTAAAGATAATAATAGGAATTCATAATATTTAACGATGAATTTATCAAATATTTATTTGGATTAAATATATATATTATATTTTATTATTTTTTTCTTTTGTAAATTTATATATAAGTGATTTCCAATAACATTGCATTCACTTGTATATAATTCATATATATTATAGACCTTATTTCTAACGATATAATGTAAATTTTCGGGTAGATTGTTTTATTAATTAAAAATCTTTTATTTTGATCATTTGATCATTTCTGCCGTTCTTCGTGCAAATCATAAATCATGACGTAAATTAAATCACATAGTTTTTAATAATTAATGAACCAACTATTGTATTATTGTTTTTATTATAAAAACTCTCTATTGTGAAAGAATTCAACAAAGTCACGTTTCGTCATGGTAAGATACTTTCATATTAAATGTTCCAACAGTTAGAGATCTATATATGTTCCCAAAATATGGATTTGATTTTTCTTGTTTTGAGATTTTTTTTTCTATATATGGAAGTAAAATAACTACGTATTTTTAATCAATGAATCTAAGAAATAACATAATTGGTAAATTTCACTTTCCACCTTTAACTTGATATAACATACATATATTGTAGGCACAACACAACAAATTAATCATATAATTGTAATATATTACCAGTAGGCAAATTTCTTTGGGATGTTTCCATATGTCAATATTCGATTATAACAAAGTGACAAGAGTGTATCTTAAAAATTCACTTATTGAACGTAGGATATGCAATGGTACTATGGGATATAAACTTCTCAGAACAATTAATTCAAGTTGCATTCTTTGCTAGAGGATCTATAATATTGCAAAACGAACCCACTATTTTGAAATTAATGGGAATAACTGTCAACAAACCCAGTATCCTTTATAAAACTATTTTGCTTTAACAAGGTTTATCCTTGCCCAAGGTATCTCTTGCATTAGATGGAAACATTTTTTTCATCCGGAACTCTTAGTCGATGCCCTACTTGGGACAATATTAAAATATCTCACTCAGATTGGTTAGCATCTATAATTAACATTGCCAATCTCAACCTCATTAACTAGCATGGCGTGGGTACTGAAAAAAAAAATATTGACGAATACTAATTATCTATATATACGAGGAAAATGAAACTTTTTCGTTTTTTTCAAACTCTAACTAACGGTTTCTCAGCTCTCCTACACTTGACTCTATTAATTTCTCAACTTTCAACTTTCTGTTATCTTTATATTCTTTATATGAAATCTAAATGATGAGAGGAACTTAAAAGGTAACGTTTTATAATTATGTAATCAAATATGCATGTAAACGTTTCACAGAATCTAATAAATCTATATCTTATCATTAAAGAATTTATTAAGATAAACGAGGTAAAATGATTTAAATTGTAAAACCATTTTTATTCAGAATATTTAAAATTCTGAAGTTGATTTATTTGATTTAATTGAACTTGCATCAGTAATAACATCTTGTATAACATTTCGTTGAATGAAATTTTGCTCCAATTTTGAATAACCACCACATCTGTAAACAATCCCGGCAATAATCCATGTTATAATAAATAATGCAATAATTAAAAAACCAATTGTACCAAAATGATCTCCAAGGACTGAAAAAAAGTCCCAAAATGGTCCTTGAAGATCCAATTTTTCACTTAAAATATTTAAAAGTTCTATTGTACCAACAATAAAAGCAACTAAAACCGAAAGCAATGTAATAATAAAGTTATAATATAATTTTCTAATTGGGTTAATAAAGGCCCATGTATAAGTTCCTAACATTAAAATCCCATCAATTGTATCTATTAAAGCCATCCCTGATGTAAAAAGTAATGGAAATATCATAATTAACCAAATAGGAAGGCCTTGATTAGCCTGAAAAGCTGCAATTCCCAAAAGTCCAACTTCTGTAGAAGTATCAAAACCAAAACCAAAAAGTACCCCAAGAGGATACATTTTCCAACTTGCATCAATAAATTTAAATAAAGGTCTAAACAATTTACCAAACAAACCAGAATTATCAAGAATAGTTTCAATATTTTCTTCTTCATAAGAACCTGTACGTTTTAACTTTTGAAGTGAACGATAAACTGAAATTAACACGAAAGTATTTATAATTCCAATTATAAACAAAAATGCGGCTGATACAGAAGTTCCAATTAGACCTCCTATAGATTGTAAGTCACCTAATTTATCTTTTATGGTTGTGGCAGTAATAGCAATAGCAATAGATGCACATATTACAATTGTAGAATGGCCTAAAGAGAAAAAGAGACCAACAGCTACAGAATATTTTCCTGTTTGTAAAAGTTTACGAGTAACATTATCAATTGCTGCCAAATGATCAGCATCTACAGCGTGTCGAAGGCCTAAGGTATAAGCTAATGCTGCCGTTCCTATAAGTGATGGAAATTTACGAAATGCAAATATGGACACTATCCATGCTGCAATATTGATAATTATTAAACTTGTAAGTATAAAAATTATCTTTCGTTTGATAATTGGAGTTGGTTTTTGTAATAATGGTGTATGTGGACTTAAAGTTACTATCACTGGTGGAGTATTAGCTCTCGAAGGCAATTCCTCAATGTCCTGAATTGTTTCGTTATTATACATTGAGAAAATTAGAATGACTAAACTGAAAAGTTTCCGATAGTTGTTAAATATTAATATAACGATAATTAAGAAGATCCTGTTACATTCTAAATGTGTTACAGTTCACAATTCACACATCATTTCATTCTACAATTGATAATCAATATTATTAAATTTATTAAATTTGAGTATTATCAAAAATGATTAAAATGACACAATCGCAATACGAGAAATTAGATTTTGACGAATGCAAACCTTTAAATAGTTTGTCATTTCTTAATATGAGACAAGAAAGTCAAGATATAAGGTCAGAGACTGCAGAGGAAATATTTATGGATGAATTAATTGCAGAAAATCCGGAAGCAATGGTAGCTTTATCTGGACAACTTTTAACACCAGAAAATACAAGAAATTCAGAATTAGAGAAAGTTTTTTTGTCACCTTCTCCGGGTTTTGTGATTAAATCACTTACCAAGACTAGTTATCAGCATTATCAAGAAAACACAAAATTAATGATCAACGTTTGTTATTCGGATTCGATACCTCCTCCACCTACCGTAGACGATGTTGAAATAAAAAAAGCAATGAATGCTGATGAGAATGCAATTTATCATGTACCGGCATCTTTAGATGAGCTTCGAGAAGACAAAGATAAAGGTTTGATTTGGAATATATATAATGAATTTAATGAATTTTTAAAAATCATAAATTATTCAATTAATTTAAATTAAAATATTAGATCAAATTAATTAAAATTTTAAAATTTCATTAAATTCTCTCAATTAAAAGTACAGAATCTATGTCTTGTCTGTGATGCTATCATAAATACGGAACCATATAAAAGAACTAAAAAGGACTCTGATTTCAAGTTGTATGTGTCAGAATTATTATCAGAAATGGTTGAGGAAAAACATGGAATACAATTAATTCGACGTAAGTTCACCAACACATTTGCAATTTATTTACAACTTATTTGATTCGAAGAAGAATTAATTTAAATTATAATTATTACTATTCAATTCAATTCAGCATTTGCGTTCCCAAAAATTCATTACAAAGGCGAGTTAAAGAAAAGAACAGTCTTCATTCCGAAGACAAGGACTTGTCTAATAACGGAAGTACCTACTAAATTAATTAAAACAAAGTCTTCTAAAGAAAACTTAAAGGCAACAAATAAAAGAATTTCGTCAGTTAAACAGCCAGAATATATAATTGCAGAGGATTACGTAAATGATAAAAAATATATTATTGTATCAATCGAGATTCCTTTGAATTCTGTAGGTTAATTATAATCGTTTAATTATTGCATCGAAAATCGAAAATTTTCTTAATTTAATATATTTATTTATATATATATATACTTTTATTAGCAATCTATTAAAGAAACCACCTTAGATATAGAGCCATTGCAAATTATTTTAAATTCACCGGGAATTTGTTCATTGAATATCGCATTACCATTTAAAGTTGATATAAAGACTGTAATAGCCAAATTCATTAGACCTAAGAAGAGACTAGTCATAAAAGCTGCTAAGGCAGATTAAAGGTATTTATTTGTTATTATATTTCTAAATTAACTGTTAAAATCATTTTTTTGAATTTAACTGAAAACCAAGGGTTTTAATCTTATAGTTAAATAACATCTCTATAGATAAATTTAAATTATAGAAAAACAAAAATAACAATTTAAGATTTCAAATGTTCAAATTTTCTTTTTTTTTTGAAAATAAATAAAATCAAACTAAATTAGATGGATAAGTAAATTCTTCAATGTCAAGGAAATTTTCTTTAATAGTACGCATAGATGTAAATCGATATAACTTTTTTTTTCAAATAAAGAGATAAAAAATTAATTATAATTGCATCACCGTATGTAAATTTGTGAAATAGAGAAATATAATAAAATAATAATAACAACAATATAATAATTACCAAATTAATACTTCCAGCCTTGTCATCAGTTCCAGAGGCTCGCGAACCACCAAATGGTTGTTGACCAACGATGGCACCCGTACATTTATCATTTATGTAGAAATTACCTGAGGCATGTCGTAACTTATTGTGAGCTAATAATACCGCAGAACGTTCTTGTGCAAAACTTTAAAATAAGAGATATTAATAAAGTTTAATAAAAATTTTTTCTTCTACAAATTTTTTTACTGAACCAATAAATACTTACATGGATCCTGTTAATGCATAAACAGAATCATTTGCTATATCTATTATTTGATCAAATTCATCTGCTTTGTAACTAAATGACAACAACAATTTTCTTTTTTAAAATTTTTTTTCTTTTGATATTAATATAAAAATTCACATTAATCAATACTTACATGTGAATTGTTAGAACAGGTCTAACAATATAAAGTAAAAAAAATAATATAATAATTAGTTAATAATCTTCAAAAAAAAAAGGATAAATTCCTGATAAATTTGTATTACCCAAAAATTTCTTCAACTATAGTTTTACTCTTTGGATTCTTTGTAACAACTATGGTAGGAGACACAAAATATCCTTTAGAATCATCATAATTTCCTCCTGCTATAATTTCACTATCTCCATCTTCTTTGACCCATTCTATATAAGATTTTATTTTTGCAAATGAATTTGAATTACTGAAAAAAGGAGAGTTATCTATTAATAAAATAATTTTTGTTTTAAATGTTATGTTAAAAATTAATATAAACATTTCACTTACATGACTGGGCCCATAAAATTGCTAAAGTCTAAAAAAAAAAATATATACGTATGTATAATTAGGAAAATTCTAAAACAGACGAGGTTAAACATAAATATAATTATTTTCTAAACTTGCCATCCACGGGTCCAATTTTGATTTTAGCATGTTCTTTAAGCAATTCATTACGGAACTTTTCCCATAACGAATCCGGCACATAAGCACGCGAACAAGCAGAACATTTTTGTCCTTGGTACTCAAAAGCTCCACGAATAGTTTGGTTTACTGCATTTGTAACATTCGCAGATTCATGAATAACATGAAAGTTTTTTCCTCCAGTTTCTCCTACAATTCTCGGGTAAGATTTATAATTTTCAATATTATTTCCGATGTCTTTCCATAATTTTCTAAACACAGTTGTAGAACCGGTAAAATGTAACGAAGCAAAATCCGGTGACTTTAATATTTGATCAGTGATTTCTTGAGCAGGTCCAGGAATAAATTGTATTACACCATCTGGTAAGCCTGCCTCTCTAAAGATTTCCATAATAACCCAGTTAGAGAGAACGGAACTGGCTGAAGGTTTATGTAACACAACGTTTCCCAGCAGTGCAGGCGCACCAGTAAGATTACCAGCAATAGCTGTAAAGTTGAATGGTGTAATAGCATAGACAAAACCTTCTAAAGGTCGATATTCAACTCGATTCCAAACTCCAGGTGAATTCTCGGTAGGTTGTTGTTGATACATTTGGTGAGCATATTTTACGTTAAATCTCCAAAAATCAATTGTTTCTGCTGCAGCATCAATTTCTGCTTGCCTTGTTAAAAAAAAAAAAATTACAATCATTTTAATTATTTTTTTTTTTATTATTGTTTTTTAAAAAATAATATGAAATTAATAACTTACCATGTATTCTTGCCTTGTCCAAGCATAGTGGCGGCCAAAAGTTTGTATCTATATTTTGTAGCTGCCAAATCTGCAGCTTTTAAGAAAATAGCAGACCTATCGGCGAGGGGGAAAGATTCCCAAATAGGTTTTATGTCCAAAGCTCCTTTTATCGCTTGTTCAACGATCGTTGAATCAGCTTCATGAAATTTCGCTATAATTGTTGCATGCTCGGAAGGATTTCTTTGTTCAATTATTTTATTCGTGTAAATCTATTTTTTTTTTAAAAAAATTATTAAAATAAAGTCATATCATATCTTATGTAATTTAAGTTTTTTTTTTAGTTACTTCTTTTCCATTAACAAAAACAGGAATTTCGATTGGAGCCTTGTTTTTGAATTCTTTTAATGCAGCTTGCAGTTTTGCCCGGTCTTCACTGCCGGGTGGATAATTCCTCTAAGTAAATTAAAGAATTGGAATTAATTATATATGAAATTACAATAAAAATTATAAAAATTGTAATATAAATAAATAAAATATATGGCTACCATAGGTTCATTTTTTATATCTGGTAATCTAAAAGTACCAAGCGTAGCGGGAGAAGCTTTTGACAAGTAATTTCGTTTGAATTGAAATTTTAAAGAATTTGCTGTAATCGAAGAGATCGAGCGAAACGAAACGAATTTATTCATTATTTTTTTTTTTTCAAAAAATAAATTAATACAATAGTGTTTATTTTGATTGCATATATAGAAATAAATTTTTTTCGTGATCGTGAGAAATTACAATTTAATTTCATACAAGTACATCAAAACAAGCCGGGGAAAATGCCAAATTTAGCAATCACAATTTTTTTTAGGTAGACAATATTACTCTACTTTGTATTGTAAATTCAAATATATTTAATAAACCTTAATATCAGGTGTGGCTCCCAACTACCTTTTGTTTTATTTACATATAAAAGGTGTACAAAAAAATTATCTCTTGGTCTTTATACAATATATTATAAAACGACAGAGTAAAGGGAGGAAGTGACTAAATCAAAAAGTATAGTCTATCGCAGATTGAACTAGCCAGATCGAGAATAGTTATGACACGCAGAAAAAAAACTAAGAATGAAATTTAATTAATATAAAATTTTCATCAGCAAAGAGAGGTTATTTTTGAATAGAAGAATTGCATACATATAATCGAAATAACCAAACCGGAATGCCGTTAAAATGCTTCTCTAAAGAAGACGATTAATCGCTTTTAACGAATCTGAATCTAATTAAATTGTACATTCTTTAAATACTCTTTTTTTTTCTAATTTATCTTAAAGAGTTAATTGGCAATTTCAAAAGTAATGGCTTCATAGAATTCATTTAAGAAATAACACCCATTCTTTTTATCTCATGATATAAATAGTGAAAAAAATATATTTAAATAATTATATCAATAAAGGTAATAAAATAATTACCTCGAAATCTTTTTCTAAGTAACATGATGCAACTAATCATTATAGTCACGTGATATTTCGTATTAGAATTTAAAATATCAAAGGTTTAGCTTGCTTTTTGAAAAATGATATATATATATATATAATCCCATTTTTTATTTTTAAAAAATCTCGGCTTTTTGATAAATAATATTATGAAAATACCATAAATTTCAAGTTAGCATAGCAAAAAATTAATATGAGTACTTTTCAGTAGTTTACGAAAATAAAATAGATTCATTTTTGTCACATGCATTTGATATATCAATGATACCTTTGCACACCTCCTCGATCTCCATGAAAATTTCAATAAAATGTGCAATAAAATTATCTGTAATTAATTAACACATAGAACCAATTTTGATTTTATTTATATTATCCATTACAATTATTTTACATAAAGATTAACACTATTTATAAATAAATTATTTTTTTTTCTTATTTTGTTTATATAGTGAAGGATAAATAGTCTTAGATTGACCCATAAGATCTTCAAGTTTCATCCTTTTTTGTTTTTTGATTTTTCCGTTGACTTGAAGATCCAAATTTTGTTCAGGAGATTTTTTAAAACCACTCTTGGAAATTTTGTTTAAATTGGACTTATTTTGAGTATTTTGAGTATTTGGTAAATTTTTGGGGGATTTTTTAATTTTGTTAGATTTAATAGGATTAACTAGATTTGTGGATACTTTTTTATCAGTGTTTTCATCTTTATCATCACTTTCACTACTCTCAGATGTATCACTATCATTATCTTTGGATTCATCACTAGTATTTACTGTTCTTTTTCTATAAACTGAATCAGAATTGTCAATAGATGAGTCAGAATTGGTCAAATTGACTTCATTTTGTTGTTTATTATTATTAAATATTATATCTTGATTATTATTATTATTATTATTTAAAGATTCATTAATTGAATCTTTAACTTTGTTATTATTATTGCAAGAAACAGTTTCAATATTTTGTTCAATAATTAAATCATGATCCTCACACTTCTTACTATCAAATTCATTACTTCCAAACTCTTTGTTATCAATCTTTTGATCAACAAGCTCTTGGTTATCTAGTTCCTTATCATCAAACTCTTCTTCTTTATTATTAAGTTCTTCATCATCAAGTTCTTTATCAAAAAGATTCTCATTATCTAGTTCTTTATCATCAAATTCTTTACTATTTTGCATTTTGTCATTTGATTTTGAGCCATTGATTTCTTCTTTTTTATCAAGATCTTCACCAACAAAATTTTCATTGTCAGACTCTTTGCTGTCAGATTCTTCTTTATGCAACTCTTTGAAATTAAGTTTTTTGTCATAAAGTTTGTCATCAAATTCTTTACTATTAAGTTCTTTATTATCAAAATCTAACTCTTTATGTGAGTTAACATCAGATATAGTCAAATTAATTGAATCGGAGCATTCATTTTTCTTGTTAATTTGATATTGATCGTGTATAAGAGGAATATTAGGATTAGAAATATCATGATTCTTATAACTTCCTAAAAAAAAATAAAATAAAATAAAATAAATATGATTAAAAATAACGTTAATATTATAAATAATAATATTATTACTATTAATATTTTTACCTGAATATTCTTGTTGATTAATTTGATTAATTTCATTTTCGTAAAGATAATAATTAGCTTGATGTTGTTTGATGCTGCTGAGATTGTTATTAATGGATAATTCGTCGCAGTTTGATGATTGATCTATATCAAACTTTCTTTTTCCATAATTCTTTACATTATCTAATTTTTTTTTTGGTTCATCAAGTAGAATAAAAGAGAAAAAAGTTAAAAAGATAATATTGGTTGTAAATCGAAATTATGAAAAATTTAATTTTCTTACCTTCCACCGAACAACTTTCTTTATTGGTTTCATAAGACATTTGATATCCGTTCGCCAATATTACGTCACCTTGACAAAAGTAATCTCCAACTAGGTCATTATTACCAAATTCATAACCATCTTCAGTCATAATACGATTTATTATCGGAGTCCTTTTCAAAAAAAAAATTCTTTTTCATATAAACATGATATGAATGTGAAGAAATGAGAATTTTCTTTTTATACCCACATTATGTTATTTCCAAAAATGTTATTGTGTCTCTGGGTGATAAGACTTTTTAACATTCCGACAGTAATTCCCGAATTTACTAATAGCATTATCCTTTTCTCAATAGTTCCTAATGCAACTTTTACTTTAAGTTTGATCTTTGTTTCCATGTTAATTAAAATTGCAAATAATTGAGAATTTTTTTTTTTTTGAATATAAATTTGGTTTCAATCATGTGATTATAGATTTATGTGATTAGGCGATTATTACTAATTTTCCCAATTTCGATCGATCAAATGTAATGTCTCAATCAAATAACAACGATAATAATAATAATAATAATAATAATAATGACATTCCTCAAAACCTAGAACAATTTCGTTCTCAATTATCAACCCAATCTCATGGAATCATTAATCAAATTTTTCCCAACAAAATTATTGAATTAAACCGCTTATTTAATGATTATACTAACAAAAAGTTCACATCCCAACTTGATTTTTGTTTTGAAGATTCACAACAGACTGACATTAATTTGTCATCACAAAGTTCTCTTTTCTCTATTTACTCAAATATTGATTGTTCACAATATTCCAATTCTTCAATTCCCACCATAAATATACCTAACATTAATAAAGATAATTCAAATGCACCTAAAAAAAGAAAAGGAAATCCTGACGAAGAATATAAAGAGCAAAATATTGATCACAAAAAAATTAAAGATGGAAATTCAAAAGAAAATCTGCATAAGTTTTGTGATGACGCGAATAGCGAGTATAATGAAATCGCAAAATTATCTGTACAACATTTGAATGAAGGAAAAGATTATCGTTGTATCGAAGAATTGCAAAAAATTCTTAAAGATGAAGTTGCTTGCTTGATAGAATATTGTTGCAAATTAAGAGTTTGGATATCGTTCAAATATTCCAGGTTTTTATTTTTATTTTCTATTTTATTTTTTATTTTTATTTTTGTTTTTTATTATTGATCTTTTCGAAATTTGATTTTGTCAGCACTAACACAGAAGAAAAAACTTCTGGTATGTCAACGCTTGAAGGTATTTGATATTGTTTAAGGTTTTTCGACACAATTCATTGTGTATACAGATTTATTTAATTCTTACCTTTATTCATGAAAGTTATAACAACTGAATTGTCGCGTGTTGAAGCAAATTCACTTGCATTTTTGGGTACCTTTACAAAATTTCATGTTGACCGTTCCGAATTAATCAAGTTAAAAACTTTTTTTATACCGTTTTGACATTATAATTTATTATTATAATTTTTATAATTTCTTTTTTTTTTTTTTTGTAATAGAAATATTTATAAATATCCTTCGATTCATGATAACTTCAATGCTCTCGTTTATTTTGATTATAAACATTTAATTAATATTAGACATCATCTTCAAGATATGTTTAATACTTATGTTATTATTCATAATATTTTTCAGAATGATATAATTCCTTTAGATGATTAAATTTCCTAAAGGTGATAATCTTGAATAAAAATTTTAATCGTCACTCAGTGGTACAAAATGATCTGCAATTTATAATAAACAATTACATATTGTTGCCAAATGTCAATTTCCTGATTTATTAGAATGTCACAACAGTCTATAAACTTATAACAGAGGGTATTTTTAGTTTCTAACTTACATTATGGTGTGTTTGTGCGAAATTGGTGGGTTCAAAAAACTATTAAAAATAGTGTAAATCATATTTTATCCATTTCTTATTATCTATATATGAGAGTTACCTGTGAACTTAATAATGAACTATTTACTCTTTCTGTTATTCAAAGTATAACAAATCCATTACAACCAGGATTTGTTTGTACATGCAAAGAAAAAAATACAGAAATTATAACATCTACTTCTGCAGCAATAAATACTTTATATTAAGAAATATTTGAACAAAAAACTAAGTATTTTGAATTAACAATAATGGGATTTTATAATAATAATATTGTAGAAAAATTAGTGAAAGATGTAATATTTTTTCCAATATTTATATTTTTAATTGTAATAACAAGTATTGGATATTCAGATAATTATGAATTTAATGGTGCAGGAAATGGATTTTCTTCAATTATAATTAAATTTTGAGAAAAACAATTTGTTATTTTACAACAGATTAAAAATAATATGTATTCTTGATATTTATCAAGAATCAAAAAAAAATATTCAATATCAAGATAAAACATCAAATAATGTGTAAAAAAAATCAATTAATAAAAAATTTGATGGAAATAATTTATTTAGAATTACACATTCAATTGTATAATCTATTTTACAACAATTTTTCAATAATCATAATATATGTATATTAAATGAATGAAATACATAATTCAGATTTTCTTCAACAAGTATTTGATCAACATATAAAATCAAGAAAAATTACAATATCAATATTATTAGATTGGAAAAAAATTATTTGATAATTAGTTATTTCAAAAAAGTACAATTGTTCAAATTTCAAAATGATTACAAAAAATTTATTCAAATAATTATTAAATTAATAAAAAAGAATTATATACATGAAAAGCTATGCTTAAATCTTGTAGATATTCCAATATTACTCCATTTGAAAAAAATATACAGTCAGATCTCTATACAGTAACCTCCTATACAATCACAAAATTAATATAGTCACATTTTTATTTTTATTAACTGTTTTGATATTACTTTGACTTCCGTATAGACACAAACGTGTTATAGTCACTATCACATTTTTTTATTAACCACCTATATAAATTATTCCCCATAAAATTACAAATTATATGAATGTCATGTGAATTTTATATTTTGCAGATTCGATAATAATTTGTATTATAAATTGTTTCTTTATTATAAGTTTAATAAAATATAATTAAGTATGTACATTATTAATAGTTTAATAAAATGTAATTATGTATGTATATTAATGGACATATATAAGCTATTATTATTATTTATTATTAATATTATTGTTATAGTTTCTTTATAAAAAAAAATTTAAATTTAGAGTGTGATATCAGGATCGGATTCGTTCATCAGGAAATTTTTTCTAGTGAAAACCTTCGAAAGTTAACATTAACATAAGTATTTCGCTGTTTTTCGATATGTTATCCTTCGAAGGTCTTCGCTAACCTTTGAAGATTATTGATTTTGATATTTTCACGTGGCAAAATTTTGCGAATATTATCGTTTTCGTAGTAAATTCATATCGATAACCTTCGAA